GTACCCTCGCCCCAAATCTTAACCTCACCCCAAACTCCCAATTCAATTGTATATGCCCCTCAGATAACTGTCCTTAGGATCGGCTTATACAATAAAATTCGGGGCGCTGGAGGATGAGGTAGGTAGAGTTAGTGGTTGGGGTACTACAAACGGGTCTATTTTCCAGAACCCTTTACACAAAAGCCTTGCCTTCGCGAGATCATTTGATTACATGTTTGCCAACAAGTGATTGCAAGCGTGATCATATTGTCATTTGTTGACTCGAAAAGACAATGACGTCATGGAACCTGCAGTTCCGTCCCATGCCCTAGGCTATCAATTAAGGTTGTAAACACAACACAGACATGCTTCAGAAACTAACCTGGGTAATAATAATAGCGATGGCAAAAATGTGTACTAACTACCAAATACATTGAACCGTATTTTTTTATTGTTTACCTACTTTTATTTAGAGGCTTAGAATACGAAAGACGTAATATAAGAAATAGGAATCTTTCTTGGCCATATGAATATTTCATTCCTTTTATGTTCATGTTGATGAATACGGCGCTGCTTTGGTTACTATGGACATGGACTGAATGTTGCCACGGAAATAACACATTTCCATTTGTTTTGTTTTTCACAGAATCGCCAGTTTTAAGTTTTATTCCGACCGATTATCAAGTTTCTGAGTGGGACGAGACAGTGGAAATTATTTTGGAGCGGTCTGGCAGCTTAAACGAAACAATTGATGTATACCTATCCACATTGTCGTTATCTGCTACGGACACTGACTACGAAGAAATCGACCAAATTGTAACGTTCTTTCAAGCCGATACCCATATATCTATTGTTATTAATTTATTAGACGATAATAATGTTGAGCCGACTGAAATTTTCCAAGTAAAAATTATGTCAGTAACTATTGGTGTGATATTGATTAATGACAGTGCCACTATTATCATTCTAGACGACGATGGTAAGTAAACCGGAAGGCAGTTTCAGGGAATGATTTACCATAGTCCATAGTGGGGGTGGGGTGACAGTGACAGCTACAGTGGGAAGTATTTCTGACACTAACATGGATCGAACTATATTTTGAGGATTACAAAATATTTAGCATTTTCGTCTCGAAATAATTGATGAATATACTGAAAAAGGTAATTGTGCGCCCCACATTCTTGCGATTTTTGTTAGAGTTGTTTCACATAGAACTCAATGTATAGGATAGCGCTGTTCCGACTAAAACCCCGGATGTAACAATATTTCATCGAGAACGTTAGTTACAAGGAAGGGCAAAAAGCTGGGGCTTTGCTTATTAATTCAATTATTTAAAGCGAGGGAGTCGTTACCTGCGCATGCTTCAGATGGCCATGGCTTATCATTGTTTACAAACAAGCGTCTACCCATGAGCTTTTGCGTTTTTAACGTGCGTTGTTATCATCGTTAAGGACCCGCACATGCGCAGGTGACGACCCTCCCGATTTAAAAGTGATTTGCTTAAAAGTTGAACTTGTTTAATTTACGCCCACAATGCCCGCGCATGCCTTCACGGGACATCGCAACTACGGCAGCCCCTTATTCAAATTAACTATACATTAATATTAATTAGAACGATACCATTTCTAGCTTGGTCAATTTGCTTTAACACAAATATTTGTGCTATTCCGTGGCACGTCATTGACATAATAGCAACTCGCACACAAGGAAACGGATCACAAAAAACATCTAACTATACTTACGGAATTTGTAATTTGGTTAAATAATTGTAAATACGAAGGGAATCAGGATCCACAACATTAGTATTTGTGCGTCAAGTCACCTACTAGTACACTGTCACACACAATTTTGTTTTATTTTTTGAAGGCCGACCTCTCAAGCACTCAACAGCTAACTCAACTTAAATTTTGTGATTACCATTTTGACTCAATTCATTACAGGTATTTCTATCATTGGTTTCGCGCCGTCCGAATATGACGTCATTGAAGGCGATGGATCTGTGGAAATCTATCTACAACGCACCTGTAACTGGGCCAGTATCGTGAATGTAACCGTGTCAACGGCATCTTTAACCGCTATCGGGGCGAGTGATTACGTAGAAAGTCAACAGAGCGTTACGTTCCACCAAGGAGAAAGTACGGCATCTGTTTTGATCAGTATAACCGACGACAACATCAATGAAGCCACTGAACTGTTTCAGGCCGTTTTGTCATTTATAAGTATTCGTGCTACCCTCGGCTGCCAGGTCGCTACAATTACAGTTATAGACGACGATGGTAACTATCATTTTGTTATTATTGTAACACATTGTTTTCACGTTTATCAATGAAACAGTTCAAAAGAACATCGATCAAACTTTATCGCGTATACCGACATAACCATACCCAGACAACAATGCATTGTGGGCAACGAATGCGCACTGTCGCCAAAAGGACAATTATAATTTAGTGGGGTGGCATCTAACACAAATTTGCTCAGAGAAAATTTCGCAGTGAAATTAACAGATTTTGTTTTATAAAATAAACAACAACCCACTTGATAGAAAAAACAAAACAAACAAAAATACAGCGGCATCATCGTAAAAAAGAAGCAATTGTCACGAACATTAA